GGGTTAGGGTTAGGGTTAGGGTTAGGGTTAGGGTTAGACTCTATCTTAGAGGTCTCCTCCAATCTTGATGATTCTATGATTGTCCTTTAGCTACCCTTATTATATGTTAGTTTCTTACATATAGGCAACATATTCAAAACACAATATACTAGACAACAGTGATTCCACAGAAGAGCTAGGATGAGAACAAAATGTCTTAACTACTACTCCTCTGAAGTTTACTCGAAAAAGAAAAAGGAAAAACATACTGATTGGAGACAACAAGGGAATGTTTCATGACTTTAAGGACTTCATCTTTCCCCTGTGTTAGCTGAAGCCTAGTGAAGGCAAATCAGGCCATAGTTAGGACTATGGACAGCATGTCAGGTGATCTGAGGTGAACTTTTGCCTCTCTAGCTTCAGTTCTGACTGCATGAGAATATAAATCATGTTGTTTTATAAACTCATTTGTGCTATAAAACAATACAGTCACATTTTACTGGAGAAAGAGGAACTGCTGTGGATTTTGGATTTATTTCAGTGCTTATGTGTAAATGAGGCATACTTTCAGAACATGCAAGGCTCCCAGCTTATTGAAGAGACTAGCACTAAATTGGATTATGCAGAGAAGAATGTTTTGGCAAGAACAGCTTGTAACAGAAATTCCTAGGTGGGATTTTTTGGAAGGTGATGTTTAATGTGCAGTGGATCATAACGTTGCTGTTTGAAAGAGAAGTGGCCATGGAGTTTTAGGAAGAATGTCAGGTTGAAAATTACTTTGGAATATTCTGAATATTTCCTCTGAAAGAAAATAGGCTTTAGCAGTGCTCTGCTGCAGCAAAATGGCTCAGGAGCAGCCCTAGGTCATTCTGTTTGTGCTGCTAAACAGGGTGTGTGACAGCAAGGGTTTCTCAGGGACCAAAGGTTCAGAGAATGTATTTCCTTACTCTCTGAGGCAGGAGCAAATTGATCTTCATTTATATAACCAAAGGGATAGGAAACATTTGTTCTGACTTTGTGAAGGAACTGCTAAATTTAGTGTCCTATAAATTTTGCAAAAGAGTAAGGAGAAACCTCTCACAGTACTTTTTTTTTTTTTTTTTTTTTGGGTTGGTTATTTTTTTGTCCCTTCCTCCATGGCTACCCATACAGGTTATGCATTTATGTGCAGACAGGTTTTTGTAAATACTATACTGCAGTGACCATTTCTTAATTTTTTTATTTAATTTTTTAATGGCAACTTATTTTTGTGAAATCATATGAGACTTAATGATCACATGAAAAATTAAAACAAAAATTGACTTGTGCTGTTGAGGATTAGAGTGGTTTCTTTTTATAGCAAGGACAAAACTGACATACAGTGTTTTAAGTAAGCCACTGGTGACACAGAGATTAATACTAGAAATATATAGCTGACTTAGAGTATGAATAAGGGAGGAGGGGAAAGCACTGTCTCAGGGTAGTCTGTGATGAGGCTGTAAAAACCCTCAGAAATTTTGGCTGCAGAAAGTTGACATTTCCCTTTTTGGTTTTTTCCTGTTTCTTTTTCTAACCAAGGATTTTCTGTCTGCTGGCAGAGTCTTTCTTTTCTGGCTCTCTGTAGAAAGAAGGCTGGACCATGGTAATCCAAACTGTTTTGGGCTTGCATAATGAGTAGACTTAGTTTCTGGCAGCCTCTTTGACCCAGCTTTTTATTTTGTAATCTTTCCCTTGTGAACAACTTTCTCTGTCTCTGCTCACAACCTCCAGTCTGAAGATCCTGTATGTTTTTTGGTAGCTCTTCTCTGATTGATGCCAATTAAACCAAAGGACCCTGCTGCACTCTTGGAAAGAGGTGATTACTGAGGCTGGAGCTCTACAGGTTCAGGCTTGACCATGAAGTAATAAAATGTAGAATGTAAATGTCCTATTCAGGATCCAGTGCCAGAATATAAAGTTCTCTAGAAAAGTAAATAAGGTGTGGCCAGTTGTGTTAATGTTCTTGCTGGGAGTATGATACCACTGCTTTTGATGGTCACAATGGTTTTTGCCTCCCTGTGAGCATATACCAAAATTACTTCAACCTACAACTTCATTTAAAAATGAAAAGACTTTTTAATCATGATAATATTTCTAATTTAGTTGGTGTAAGTCTTAAGAATGTTAGAAAAGAAGGAATAATTTAAATAATGCCAAAGCTATACTGTGGTGCTTAAAATGCAAGATTAAAGGAAGAGCTTCATTCCCAGTTCATAGCAATTCAAAAATCCCAGTCACTGGGATACATCTGGATTCCTCTGTCTTCCAGGAGACCATTAGAAAGGAAGTCCAGAAATAAGTTCTAAAAATGTAAAGAGCTGTTTCTGATCAAACCTAAGACACAGAATTTGCAGTTATTCTTTGTGTAGTAACCTTTCACAAGCAGGTTGCATAACTCCATGCTACCTTAAGGTAATAGATCAAAGACTGACTGACCTTTGGTTTCAAAGCTTGCTGACGTAAGCTTTCAGACTCTGCTGGTTTTTAGGAAGCATTTCTACCTGCCGCCTTCTTTGTATGTGAACAGTGAAATTGTTGGGCCTATTGCAGCTTATCTGCCTGTATGCATTTCCATTCCACACTGTGCAATTTACATAATTACACCTAAAGACAAATGAGGTTTCCAAGGTTACTTTCTGTGCACATACATTCCTGTGCTAGCATTACCATGAGTTCTAAGAGCACAATGTTGTGAACTTCAACTCTGCTTACATTTCAGGTGGTTACACAGAAGTCAGATAGTGCTGAATGGAATGATACTAGATTTTGGTTTTGAATAAGTTGCTCCTTCCCAAGGAAGTCCTGTCTTCCCAATCCTCATTTTAGGTATTCCTATGATTGAGATCTGCAAGACACATTCTAATTTGAGTTGTAAGGTGTTGCTTCAGTGTGAGCTCCTCCTAAAGGCTTTTCAGCCGTTTGTGGAGTAGAGGGAGGGTCAGCATGTAGCTTGGTGACTGAGTGGCAATGTTGGTCTCAGTGGCACTTGCTGTTACCTTTTTGGAAGCCAGGATTTGGCAAATGCTGGGTTACCTATGGCAACACAGTCTGAGTGCAGTCAGCTGGTGTACCTCCTGCTTAGGTGGCTGTGGCACTTGGACTTTCTGAAGCATAAAGACCTTTGGCTACTCACCCTTAGTAGAAATACTGATCCTTATATTTATCTTGTCATTTATAAATAGTTGAGTTTAGCTGGTAGATTTAATCTACCTCTAACTTGAGTACACTAGTCTTTATTCCAGCCTCTGCAGTACTGGTGGTCTATTTGTATTCTGTGATACTCTTAACTGTAATAACTGTAGTACTGTAACTGTAATTAACTGTAATACTCTTTACTCTTAACCTTAATTAGATATATGTTGTTTTTGCTTTCTCTCCCCTAGGGACAAGGCTGGTGGATATGGTATCCAAGCCCTTGGTGGAATGTTAGTTGAGTATGTCCATGGAGACTTCTTGAATGTGGTGGGATTTCCTCTGAATCACTTCTGCAAAAAGCTAGCAGAATTGTACTATCCACCCTCTAAACATAACATACAGCATAAAAAATATGACTCTATCCCTTCTGTGGACACTTTTGAGAACCTAAGTGATGGAGAAAGTGAATCTTCAAATTTCACACAGCACAAAGATGCTAGTAAGTTGGACAGCAGTGGGATGAGTTCCTCAGGAGCTGTTTACACATCTGAAAACAGTTCTGGTGTCAGAACTGGTTTTACAGTACCTTTGGAAAATCAGAATGGAGTGTCACGAAGTGCAGCAAAACTTCCACCTAAAATTCTAGAGCTGATGGATGGGTTTAGAGCTTCAAAGGTAAGGGAAAAAATTAAAACTACTCATTACATTGCTGACTGATGTGATTGTTTTGCTGGACTTCAATATACACCAGGTAATGGGAAGTACTTCAGCTGAGGTAAGAATGTATTCATAAGTAGTAAATAAGCACCACTGAAGTTCTAGAGAATCTAAGATAGCTGAAACTTCTGGTGCAGTGCAAAACTGTTGTTTTGTGTTTGCTTTTATCTCTTCTATCTGTTCTATGAAACCTCAGTTACCCATTTGATAATCTTGTCTCTTGAGAGGAGAAAAAAATTTGGGGCTTTGTGGGGGGGGGAGGGGAATTTACAATGAGAAGAGCACAACCAAGCAGGAATTTATATGCTCTGCAAAGAAAGCATTTAATATGGTTAACTTACCTGACTTAAAACTCTGACAAGAATTGTATATATTCTATTTCATTTCTAACTTTTAATACTTAGCATTAGAAATCTGTGGAAGATCTTAATATTTTTATTCCCTGTGAAGAATATTATATTTAATGAACTGTTTCATGTTCCAGATGTGTTTAACTGATAATATCCATGCTGTTTCTGATGAAGGCATACTCATAACAGCTCACAAACAAGGTCACATGCTCTGTGTAGCAGCCAAGCATGATGACAAATGTGTAGCTGGACATTTTGAGTACTTCCAGGTTTTCTACTCACAGTTCCATCATAGTAAAGACAAAAGTGAAGAAGGGGAAGGAGAAACAACAATCATTCTAACAGATCACTGGTCTCCAAGTCATTCGTCTCAGGAAGAGGTGGAAAAAAGTGCTAAAGTGGCGGCGAAATGAAAGCTTAGAACTAAAGATATAACAAACTTGAGGGGGAATGGAGGGAAGCAGACCAGACAGTGAACAATACTTTTGCTGAAACAGCAGAAAGTTGTGCTTGGCTCTGAAGGAAAACCATAGTGTGGTCACATGGTGTGATCTGTGGGTGTGCTGCTTGCAGGCATGCCAAGCTGTACTGAGAGGGTTGGAGTAAAGTGGCTTTGAGATTGCTGCGTTTGTGAACTCCTTGTGTATCCACAGGGACTGAATTTTGATGTCTTTAAATGGGTGAGATGATGCTAGCATTTCTTCAGTTTAAGTAAAAATGAACATGGAGAATCATCAGCATTTTGTGGCACGACGTACACTGTTTACAGTGATGTGATGCCAGATTTGGTTCTGTGCAGTGAGACAGTGGAGGCTGGGAATAGAAGCAGATTTCCTTTCCTGTTACTCCAGTGTAAAGCCATAGTATGAAATGCTGAGTTTCGTGTTGAACTCGTGGGAAAATTTTTTCCCAGGTCATGGATCTTTTCTTAAAATTATTTCTCAGTTGCAATGAATATTTCCAATGATCTGACAGATCTCTCCACTTGTGGAATAGGGATAAGCACACACAAGCATTCAGTTTCACAAAAGCTCTCAAGTTCTTTTTCATTTTGATCCTTGACTGTAGTTTCAAGGACTTCATAAAGCAGAGTGAAATCTCCTGCAGGTGAAAATGTTGCTGCCTATTTTACTCTGAACAGCTGCTGTTGCAGAACAGGAGGGGACCAGAGTTAAATCATACTTTCTCAAGTTTGCTATGTTCTGAATTTGCATAGTCTGATCTATACTCAGGCCTTTG